GTGACGGTCCACACTCAGCCTCCAGGATCCCTGTGGCCAACATGACACTAACTAGCAAATGGAAATAGCAGGACGGGGGCGCCTGGTGGCTCAGTGGGTTCCACATCCGACTCTTGATTTCAACTCAGGTCACAGTCTCAGGGTTCGCGAGTTCAAGTCCCCTATCAGGCTCTGTGCTGGTGGTACTGAACCTGCTTGGGATTGTCTCTCTCCCTCTGTCTCTATGCCTCCCCCACTCACTCGTTCTCTCTCTCAATCTCAAATAAATAACTTGCAAGGAGCGAAAGAAAGGAGGAAGGAAGGAAGGAGGGAGGGAGGGAAGGGGGAAGAAAGAAAAAGAAACAGCAGGACAGGTTAAAGTGAGGCCACGGAAGGAAAGGAAAAGCTTTCTCTTGGCTGCTTTCAACCGCACTCTGCCTGCTCTTTGAACACGGGCTCTGCGTTTTACACTGGGCGCCACGGACTATGGGGCTGGTCCTGCGTCGGAAGAAAGCAGGACGGGACCTGGATCTTCTGCTCCAACCTTTTCCCGTATTGCGCAGTGTCTTCCCGACACGGGCGTGTTCAGTATTTGTCACCCGCACAAGCACGTGACACACACACTTGGATTCGGAGCCCAGGGTCTAACTCCTGGGGCGATGGCCTCGCACGACTCCTGGCCGGCCGGGAGCAGGACGAGGGGGCTCAGAGACAAGGCTGTAACGCTAGTCGGCTGGCCCTTTTTGGGAAAGCGGCGACAGACCCTGTATCAGTCGTTCGTTCACGCATTCGTCGTCCTGCCCTGGGCTATGGATGCTCCGTCCACAGTTCGGCCGCAAACGCTTAGAATCGTCACCATCCCTCCTCCCCTCCCTCCTCTTCCTCCTCCTCCTCTCCTCCCTCCTCATCCTCCCATTTCTCTTCCCCCTCCTCCTCCTCCACCTCCCTCCTTTTCTCCCCCCTCCCCCCTCCACTTCCTCTTCCCTCCCATCCCCTCCCTATCTCTCCCCTCCACTCTTCCTCCTCCTGCTACTCTTCGTCCCCCTCCTGCCCAGCCCATCACTCCTGTGGCATGGGGGGGGGGGGCGGGGGGGGCAGCTCAGAGGCATGGCCTGGAGCCAGAACAAGGAGGGTGGGTTGTGGGTGCATGGTGCAGGAGGCACGGGTGGGTGCACAGGGTGGGGAGCAGGGGATAGGGACCGGATGGCCAGCACGGGATGGCAGCTGAGAGGCCGAGACTGGAGCCTCGGGCTTCCTCCCATGCTCCCCATGGCCCCTCCTCCACTCCACAGCCACCTGCTGCCTCGTCGGGCCTGATTCTGATGCCCGTTTCACGGAGAAGACACAGAGGGTGGGGGATAGTAAGGGACTCAAAGAAAACAGCCAAGGCGGGACTCAAGCTCTAACTTTTGGACTCTGGCCTGAGATCCTTCTGTGTCCTGTCTTTCCCAAACCCGGGCCCTACCTGGGGCAGGGATACTGCTCCCCTACTTACCAGGAGTCTCAACAACCTCAGGGATTGGGCCGGGCCAGAGAAGCCAGTTCCAAGAAGGCTGGACAAACGGTGACCCCAGCAGTGATCCCGAGGGACAAGGAGTACACTGACCCTCTCGGGGTCGCAGCCGCCTCACCAGAAACGGGCACAAGAAATAACCCCGAAGATGTCAGTGTGTCTAGATTCAGGGATGTCCACCCCTCAAACTGGCCCCAGGAAGGGAGGGGAGTGGGGATGGCCAGGGAGAGGGGCCACCCAGGGGTTGCAAGAGGGGGGAGCAGAGGAATGGAAAGAGCCCCGCAGACACCCCACCTTGCCCTGGCTCTCCTTCCACACCCCACCCAATTCTAGGTGGCCTACCAGCCATCTCCCCGGCACCTGGTCCCTTGGCCACCCACCCCCAGCTCCGGAGATCACTCTGTTTCTTCCCCCCGTAGCTCATCGCCATCCCCCTACCCCCATCTTCCTTCCTGGACTTGGAGACCCAGCTCCCTCACCCCCTCCTCCGAGAAGGCCTCGGGGATCCTCCAGGAACCTCAAAGCACCAGAGCAGCGTCTCCTGCGGGCAGCACCCCACCCAGACCATTGCCTAGCTCCCACCCAAGGGCATCCTGAAGCAGCACATCTGTTCTCTGGCCTCCTGGCACAGAGCCAGCGCAAGTGGATGTTAATGGATGAAAATCGAAAATCACGTCCAAGGAGCAGCCAGCCTCACAGCCTGGAGTGGGGGGACCTGCTGCTTGTTAGCTGAGTGCTCACGCTGGGTCAGACACGGCCGGTCACTTTACATTGCCAGATGACGTCATACGTACACCATCCCTAAGGATAGACCTAAAAATTCCCATTTTATAGGTCAGAAGGCTGAGGCTCTCCCTGTCCCCGCCCCCTTCACCATCACCATCCACATTTGTCCTGGAGACACTTCCTCACCACTCACCAAATGCTTTCAAGCAGAGCCTCCCCCTGTCCCAATGGCAGGCTGCTGGGGCTCCTGACTCTCTGTTTCTTTTTGCGGAGGACACGCTTCCCCGGGGGCTCCCCGCTCTGCCCTCTTTCCTGGCGTCCTTGTCCTACCTCTGGCTCTCACGCCTTATTTCTAGACTTCACTCAACACTAGACTTTGCGGCTTCCCTCCAGAAGGTGGTGTTGCCGACAGAACCCTCTCCTCTCAGACCCTCACCCCTCTCTCTTGTTCACCATGCCTTCCCCTGCCCTGTGCGGGGAGCTTGTCCTGTGCCCCTGGCCCGCGCTCACACCCTAGGAGGGCGGCCTGTTGCCATCGTGGCCACGGTGGCGGCGAGGCTTACAGAGTGAACCTTCCCCGAGAAGGGGGAGCCCGCGCGGCCAGCGTGGCGCCTGGATCCTTGCCTCCGAGCCCCCCTCTTCCCTGTTCCCAGCAAGCTTTGAGCGGGCATTCCGCTTGTGACGCCACAGCAAGGTGAGCGGGAATGTGGCCGCCTCTGTGGTCCCTTCACGCAAACCTCCCTGTCCCCTTACAGAGGCTTCAGCGCCTCCCCTCTTGGCCCTGCAGGGGTCTCCCCTCGTGTTCCCTGTCCTTTACCGGCTCCAAGGACAACACCTCCCGGGTTTGGGTTTGGGTCGTGATGCTCCCAGCGAGAACAAACAGCCATCCCGGCCGGGCCCTGCTCTGTGTCTAACTTGTACCCGCAGGATGGGGACAGACAGTGCGTTTGTAGGACTCTCCAGGGTGGGGCTTGGGGGGGACATTGCAAAAGCCCCGACCCTGCCGTCCGCATCCCCTGGCTGTGACCTGTGTGCACACGGGGCCAGTGTTTCCGGAAGTAGCCGGGAGTGCTGGCCACCCGCCCTGCACGGCTCCTGGTCCTCAACTTCCCCCACCCATTGCAGGTCCCCAGCTTCGAGTCAGGCCCTGACCAGAGGGAAGAAGCCAGGAGGCCAGGTGGGCCCAGATGAGTCCCGGGGAGGGGGGGACTCAGGACGGACGGAATCTTAGGGGCTGGGGCCTCTGGCCGCTGACCTCCACCCTGCTCTCTGACCTTCTCCTGGGCGTAGCTGCGTTCTGAGCCATTTCTTCTGCGGGACAGACAGGGTTCCTCTGGCGGCAGGGGGATCCTGGGGGCGCCCAACCCACCAGTGAGCAACCTGTGTTCACCCCTCCCTCCCTCCCTCCTGCTCTGACCGCCGCCCACACTCACCTTACTCTGGGACCGGACATTTCTCTGCGGGGAGAGGCATCTGTCCTCAGCACCTCGGTGACCAGGAAAAGCTGAGTGTGGCCAGATGGCAGCCCTCCTCCCCTTCGCTGAGGGGCCAGCACCGCAGCCGGGACCCTCAGCGGAGGCCCAAGGAGAGGCAGGTGCCAGAGGGACAGCTCCGCCCCCACCGGGTCCCCAGTGGGAAAGAGCCCAGCTCCCGCCTCGGGCGCTGGGGCACCACTGGCCGCCGTGGAGGGCAGCGGAAGGTCCGGTCCCGAACGAAGGACACACTGGGACTGTCAGGGGGGCACTCCTGTCCCGGGATAGTCCAGCCCCGGCTCTCGGCCCCTTCCCGCAGCCCCCTGCACCCTGGGGGTCTGTCAGCTGCATGCAGGGGACGCTGGGGGTTGGAGTCCACAATTCCTGCTCGTGTCTCATTGGGCAGGACGGTGTCATGTGACTTGAGAGAGCCTCAAGGGATGCTGGGAATTCAGTCCATTATTTAGCTCACAGCCCATTGGTCAGGCTGGAGGCACCTGCTGTGGGAGGCAGGATCTAGCCAGGAGTCCCTGCAACTCGCTGAGGCTAAGAGGGGGGTGTGCTCGTCTCACTAGAAGAACGAAGGGAACACTGTTCCTTGGGGGCAATTAGCAGTTCCGTTCACTAATCACCTCTTCACTTGGGGCTCAGGGATGATTTGTGTAAGAGGCTCAGAGAACCTGAGCAGGAGTGACTTGAGTCTTGAGGACATTTCTGTTCACTGCCCAAGCTGGGGTTGGTCTGGGGTCCGCTTGGGCAGCTCTTTGATGTTTCCTTGACTTCTGTGCACCTCCCCTCCAGGTCCCAAGTGGCTGCCACAGCTCCAGGCATCATGTTGCCATACATCCCCACTCAAGGCAAGAAAAGGGACAAAGGGGCATTCGTCCTGACTCTTTTTAGTGAAGGGGGGGAATCTTTCCCAGAGAGCCAAGCCGACTTAACCCACGTGACTTGTTGGCTCCAACCATGGTCCAGGCCTAACTCTACCTTCCACACAAGTCTTCCAGCCCCTCTGTGGCTCCGTCCTGGTCTCCTCTGCTGCCCCCACACCCTCTGCCTCTTCCCCCACCATCCCTGAGGGCGAGGACCCCACACCACATCCATCCCCCCTGGCTGGTCCTTATCCCCTCCTGCGTGCAGCAGACCCCGACTTCCTCAGCCACCCACGCCTGCCAGCAGTCACCTCTCCTGGCCTGATCCAGCCTTGGGTCTGCTCATGGCTCTGTCCCAGAACCCCAGGGTCATGTGGGCTGCAGGCAGCGTCCCCAAGTCACGGGGGTGGGTAGTTGCAGGCAGTGTGATCGAAGGCCATGGTCTCAGCTCTGGGACAGTTCCAAGACAACACTGGGGGTGAGGCCTGGCAATCAGGAATCAATGGCTGACGTGAGTCTGGGGCTGTCCTTCCCCTGCAGCACTCAACCTGTCATCGGGCTCATGCGGTGGCTCTCAAGTTATGAATGAATAGATGAAGTGTCGGGGGATCCTGGCGTGGCGCCCTCTGTGTTCGGATCTATTGCAGCCAATGCCCGGATGGCACTCCGGCACCCTGGAAGGGCAGGGGGCCCTGGGCAAGCGGACGTCACCAGCAAGGCCGTGCTCTCTTTGCAGAAGGACACGGGTTCCTGTATGAAACCTCTGGGGTCCGGCCTCAGTTCTCCCGTCAGGTCGCCTCCTTTGGTGCTTCCCCCACGACCCCCCCCCCATTTGCCCTGGAGGGCGTCCACGCGCTCGTCGTCTCCCGGAGCGACCGTGACCTGAAGGACGCCATGCAGGAGGCCCAGGTGACTGCTGAGTCAAACCCGCTGCCGCCTCTGGCCGCTGCCTCCTTCCCTCCGTGTTCAGGGCACGTGACAAAGCCCTCTGCTCTGTCGAGGACTCTGTCCGGGAGTATTCAGCTGATAGCGTGCGACACAAAGGCTAGCCACGGCCGGTAGCCGTTACCCTCGGGTGGAACCGGGCTCTAGCTGAGCAAGAGAAGTGACATCGTCCTGAGCCCCACTACGTGCCCCGCCGCACGCAGAGCGCACTTCCTGTGTCACTGCCGGTTCACCCGCAGCGGACCCTGTGAGCTGGGCGCGTCCCCCCTGCACATCTCAGGTGCAGAAACTGAGTCATGGAGGATTCAGGACACAGGTGCAGTGCGGGGACCACAGTCAGTGCTAACAACCAGGATTCCCCTGCTTGGTAACCCAGAACGCTTCCGCACCATCAGGACTGTTAAGAAACAGACCACACGCGTAGTGGGAGATGAGCGGCTCCCCGTGCAGGGGCTCCTCCAGCACAGCCACTAGGAACTTCTCCTGGGGCCTGAGCAGAGACAATCCCCCGCTGAGGACGGGGTGGGTGAGGGAGCTGGCTCGCGCCTGCGGAGGGCAGTTTCCACAACCATACGTGGCCCTGGGGGGGTCAGAGGAGGTCTACCGAGGGGGCAGAGGGGATGGCGTCGTGAACCACTGACAGAGACCCAGGGGTGGCCGGGGAGGCAGATCCAAGGCTGCCGCGTTGTCATGTCGGGCCTCCCTCTGTCCCCTGGGTTTTCAGGGGCAGCAGTTCGTGTAGCGAGGGTCCCCATCCCCGTCGGCTCAGCAGGAAATCTGCACGCACGTCTTGGACCAATTTGACTACTGCTCGTGAGCGGCACCTTCCTTGGGCGGGGGGGGGGCCTCGTTCTCGGCCTTCTGCCTGCGTCGCCTCAGAAACACCCTCCCAGCCACCCCCTTGGGAGAAGCTCTCAGGACCCTGGCTACAGATAGAGAAACTGAGGCAGGGCCACTCAGCCAGGGTCCGGTGGTCAGCTTGGCAGAGTCAGTGACAGTTGCGTTGGCCAATTCCATCATGGGAGCCGTCAGCCTCTGGGTTCCTTGGGGTGGGAGTCCCTGGGTCCCACCCAGTCTGGCCCTTTGTACCTGGGAGGCTGTGGGGGAGCCGGCTCCCCGCTCCTTGAACAGGAGAGATTGGTGCACCAGGAGATGGGCAGCTGGTGAGTGGATGCCAGATGTGGGATTCACGACCAGTCACCCCCACTCGTCTAGCCCTGCTCTTTGTCAACGCTGGTTTCCAGCTGGTTTCCAGTGATGTCGTTCATCTATCTTATCAACCAACCCTGGTCAGGATGTTTTATGGATGAAGAAACTGAGGTCCAGAGAGGATCCAAGCAGCCACTCCTGGAGGCTGGCCTGCGATCCCCCCCATGGCACCCCCTGCTGCCCAGAGTGAGGCAGGGAGGACCCTAACTAGGGGCATCCAGTCCCCGAGTGTCTAGCTGGGGGCTATGCCACGCACAGGGTGTGGGCTCCACGAGACGGCTGAGGCAGTGTGGGCCCAGGGAACATGATGTGTTCAGGTGCCACAGCTGGCAAACTGTAACCTGGGGATTTGAGCCCCGTCTTGTCTGCCACCACCGACCTGCCCATCACACAGGTGGGGGAGGAGGCCCGAGTGACAGTCCGAAGTCCCTGAGCTGCACCTGCAGCCTGCCTGTGCAGGATCCTGGACGCCAAGCTGCCTTGCCTTCTTGGGGCAGGGCTCCCCTAACCCTTCCCTCTCCTGCAGGGAGGGCTTTTCCTGGGATGGCTCAGCCGTCTTCCCAGAACCACCCGTCATTAGGATATATCCCGGCACGATTCGTCCCGTCTCTCGGCACATCAGATACTACGCCATGGCCCTACTGAAGAACGTGAAGGAGAGGGCCGCCTGGTTCCAAACACCACACGTCCTCTGGCCCTGGGTACTGCGGGGTCCCGGCCCCGGGGTCCACAGCACAGCCCTGGACACCTGTCAGGAGTCAAAATGTCATAGGCATTTCAATCAAAATACTGTAACTACACTTGGGTCTTGAAGCAGAGCGGAAGTCGTAACTAGACGATAAAGAAACAAGAACTTGAAATATTTACTTTCCCAACGGTTCAAATGCAGAATGTGCTGTTGGCAAGGAGAACAGAAAGGCCCGCCTAACATGACTTGTGTCCAGATTGCTCTGTGACCTCCCTCTTCAGAGGCACCATGAGGCCTTTCAGAGAGGCGTCCTGCGGCTGCGTGAGTTTAGGCCATCCTGACACATGTCGCATTTCCATGCTCCTTCCGTGGAGGTTGCTGTCAGCACACGGGGAGGCCTGTCATGACCTTGCCCACTCTGCCTGAGGACCCTAGACCCAGCAGCAGGCGTTTGTGGGGCCGCTGCAGCCCTGTGCCCAGGGGTCTGTGCAAGTCCGACAGCGAAGGGAAGTTGCCCATCAGGCTGTCTATCCCCATCACTTTGTGTCACGAGCTCACACCAAAATCCCCCGGCGGGGTGATGAGGAATCCTTGTCCTTGGGCAGCGCGAGAGCTAACGCATCCGCGGCCTCATCGCACGGGCAGCTTGTGGGGCTGATTCAGCCTGGGCTCCCCCGTCAGACCTCGTGAGAACTTTCCTCGTTCCCCTCTTGTCTCGTCGGTGCTCAGCGGGCCCCTCCTCGGTGACCCAGGAACCGCAGGTGTTCAGATGTTCCGGCAGAATCTGCAGAGCGCTGCTGGGGTGCGGCCATCACACGGGCCGCACGTCCGAAGCAACTGAACAACTTCATCCAGGCTCACGCTTCTCCTTCTGTCCCAACTACAGGCTTCGCCTCCCCTGGGCCGGACTCCGTCTCTCACGTGCAGTCTCAGAAGACGTCATTTCATGTCTTCCGCCCCATGGCAAAATCTCAACAAGGCTCATTTAGGATTACCGCGACTATTTCTGGGGGGACCTTCTTTTTAACGACACAGTTCTCTCCTTTGACTGAGATGTAATTGGCAGATCACATTATGCTCATTTCAGCCTGCAACACACCATTCCATATTTGTCTGTATTGCAAAATGACAGGCCCAATAAGTCTATTTGCCGTCCATCACTGATGGATGCTTGGGTTCTCTCCATATTTTGGCTATTGTAAATAATGAGCGTAAATGAACGTTGAGTTGCCTGGATGTGAACGTGGGGGTGCATATCCCCCATTTTCAAATTAGCGTTTACGTTTTCTTTGGGTAAATACTCAGCGTGGCGTTGCTATGTCATATGGTGGTTCTATTTTTCATTTTTTGAGGGTCTGCCATACTGTTTTCCATCATGGTTCCAACAATGCACAGTCCCACCCACCGTGCACAGCATCCTCTTTTCTCCACGTCCTCGCCAACACTTGTTATTTCTAGTGGTTTTCACGATAGCCATTCTGACGAGTGTGCGGCGAAATCCCATTGTGGTTTTGAAGCGTATTTCCCTGATGAGGAGTGATGTGGAGCACCTTTTCACGTATGTACCTGTTGCCCATGTGTATGTCTTCTTTGGAACAATGTCTATTCAGATGTCCTGACATATTTTTTAAATGGATTTTTTGCTTTAGGGTATTGAGTTGTATGAGTACTTATGTTACGGATATTCACTCCTTATCACATGTTTGATTTTCAGACATTTTCTCCCATTCAGTAGGTTGCCTCTTCATTTTATTGATGGTGTCCATTGTTGCACAGAAAGCTTTTTTTTTTTTTAATATAGTCTTACTTGTTTACTTTTACTTTTGTTGTTTTTGCTTTGGGTGTAAAATCCAAAACATCATCACCATGAATGAAGTCAAGGACTTTATCCCCTCTGTTTCATTCTAGCAGTTTTATGGTTCCAGGTTTTATATTCAGATGTCTAATCCATTTGGAGTTAGTTTTTGTACATGATGTAAGATACTGGTCCAGTCTCATAATTTTGCGTGAGGATGTCCAGTTTTCCCAACACCACTTACTGAAGAGACTGTGCTTGCCCCAGTGTATATTTTTGCCTCCTTTGTCACAAATTAACTGACCACATATGTGTGGGTTTATTTCTGGGCTCTCTATTCTGTTTTGTTGATCTGTATGTCTGGTGTCATGCCAATACCATACCATTCAGACTACCATAGCTTTACAATGTAGTTTGAAATCAGGGGGTGTGAGGCCTCCAGCTTCGTTCTTCTTTCTCAAGATTTGTCTGACCATTCAGGGTCTTTTGTGTTTCCATACCAATCTGAAGATTGCTTGTTCTATTTCTGCAAATACACCGTTTGAATTTTAACAGGGATTGCATTGAAATCATAGTTTACTTGGGGTGATGTGGACATTTTAACAATATTAATTCTTCCCATCCATGAGCACAAGAGCACATGAGACATTATTTGTGTCGTCTTCAAGTACTTTCATCAATGTCTTAGAATTTTCAGTGTATAGGTCTTTCACCTCTTTGCTTAAATCTATTCCTAGATATTTTATTCTTTTTGATGCATTTATACATGGGATTGTTTCTTAATTTCTCCTTCTGATGGTTCAGTATTAGTGTGCAGAAATGCAACTGATTTTCATATATTGATTCTGTACACAGACACTTGATTGAATTTGTTAGTTCTAACTGTGTCTAGGAGGAGTGTGTGCAAGTTTTTATATGTAACAATGCTATGCCGTCTTCATATAGTGACAGATTAACTTCTTCCTTTCCAATTTGGGTGCGCTTAGTTTCTTTTTGTTGTCTACTTGCTCTGGCTAGGCCTTCCAATGCAACGGTGAATGAATATGTACAAGGTGGGCATCCTTGTCTTCTTCCTCATACAGCTTCCCACCATGGAGTATGATGCTACATTTGGGCTTGTCATCAATGGCCTTTATTATGTTGAGGCACATTCCCTCTATACTCACTATTTGAGAGGTGTTACATCGATGGATGTTGTATGTTGTCAATGGCTTCTTCTACAGCTATAGAGATGATCACGTGGTGTTCTATCCTTTTATTGTTAACATTACGCATCGTGTTGATCGATTGGTGGATTCTGAACCATCCTTGAATTCTTGCAATAAATCCCACTTGATCACGGTGGATGATCCTTCTCATAGATGGTTGACTTTGGTTTGCTAATTTTTGTTGAGTATCGTTGTATGTGTGTGCATCAGAAACATTGGCCTGTAATTTCCTTTTCTGTGGCACCTTTATGTGGTTTGGTATCGGGGTAATGATTTTAGGATATGAGTTTGGATGTATTCCCTCTGTTTCAGTTTTTTCGGAAGAGTGGGAGAATGATAGGTATTAATTCTTCTATAAAGGTTTTGTAGAATTCACAAGTGAAGCTGTCGGGTCCTGAACACGTGTGGCTTGGGAGGTTTTTGACTGAATCTGATTGAATCTCCTTAGTAGTCGTTGGTCTGCTCAGATTTCCTATTTCTTACTGATTCGGTGCTTATGGGTAGTATATTTCTAGGAATTTATCAATGTTTTGACTTCGTCTTTTTGAAAGCAACTTCCAAATCAGTAAACGTGAGTCGTGGCTGTGATCACTGTGATTCGTAATTACTATATTATCAAAAATAATTATTATGCTTGTATCAATAATACTGATAGGCTTTAAGAAAATCCCAGAAAGAGAAATAATTTAGACAAATGTCAACACTATGTAATCTCAATTATATGTGGAGTTGAGGAAAACTATACTTATGGAAATAGAGATTAGATCTATGGATGCCAGAGGTGTGGGGGTGGGGAAGTGGGGGACCTGGATGATGGTGTTCAAAAGGTCCAAAGTCCAGTTATAAGATTAACAAATACTTGAGATGTAAAACATAATATAAGAAAGAAAAAAGGAAGAAGAGAAAGAAAAGGATAAGAAAGAGAAAAAACAAGACAAAAGAAAAGAAAAAAGAAGAGAAGAAAAAAAGACAAGACAAGACAAAAAGAAAGGGTCAACGGTCGCAGTCAGGGAGCTGGTTGGGGTTCTGAGGCTTCCAGGAAGAGTGTGAGGGCCCTTCATGGCGGTTGATGAGGGCCGGGCTCTCCCCGGAATTACAAGGCTTTGTGCCATGCCCCCTCCCGCAGGGCTGTGACAAGCAGTTCTTCAACGCCTCGCTCCAGTTCACCAACATGGACCTCTGATGGAACTCATCAACTCTAACTCTCCGCCTCCAAGCTTGGCATCTCTGTGGAGCACGCCACACTGGCTGACTACTTCCGTGCCATGCACACTCACAGTGTCACCTGGAACATCCACGACCACGGGACTTCCCGCCCTATTCCTCAGGTATGAGCATCTGCAGGTTGGGGTGGAGATCTGGTGCCAGGGAGGGCAGCTCTGCCCTGCTGATGGAGCTTGTGAGGGTCACTGGGGCCGAGACGGGCCCTGTCCCGCCTAGCTGTCCCACCTACACATCTTAGTATAGACAAGATACTCACATAATGGCTCCATAGCACCCATTTTCCCATCTCTCCATTTCCTTCCCTTCCAGAGAGATGTCAGGTTCCAGCCCCATGCGGGGCTGGAACTGGGCTGAGCCCTGCGCTGACACGGCCATGAGACGGGTTGGTCTAGTCTCTTGTCGCCTTGGTCTCTTGTCTGGGTGGTGAGAATGTGGGCAGATTGTTCTGAGGACGCTACCATTCAGAGCGTGTGGTTGGAGAGCTGGCTGGATGTAGAGATGAGAGGAGATTCACGGCTGTGGGCGTGGTCACAGTTTAGGTGGGAGGGGCTACTGCATTGTGGGAGGGCTTACGGCCCAGAAGAAAGAGGACATATTGAAGTACGCGGGGTTACAGTTGAGTGGAAAGGGATACATTGACCTGGGAGGTTAATTCACTGTGGGAGGGGATACATTCAAGTGGGCGTGGTTACTGTAACGGTGGGTGTGGCCGCACGGAAGTGGGCCGGGAGATAGTGGGATGGAAGGGTCACATCCGTGAGGCCTTGGCTCCATTCAGGTGGCAGGGCTTCCGGGGTGTGTGCTTGGTTACAGTAGAGGTGGGAGGGGTTAAATTTGATATGGGCGTGGTCATAGCTGGAGTTCAGGACAACATCCCTGTGGGCGGGGTTACAATCCAGGTAGGAGTGGCTGCAGTGGGCGGGGCTGCATCTAGGAGGCGGAGATATGGCACAGTCCTGCAGGCGTACTCAATGGGCTTGGCTCCCTCCCTGAAGGCCCCCGGGCAGAGACAATTTTATGTGGACACTGGACAGGTGAGGTGAGCCCTGGGCCCTGCTCTGAGTCACTGGGGCCTTGGGAAGGCAATAAGCCTGCCTGGTGCCTAAAGTAGAGCTCAGGCTGTGGGGTGCCTCTGCCCAACCAGGACCCTCAGCCTGCCGGAGGAGCTGTGGGCAACAGGATCAAGAGGTCCCCACAGCCTGCGGCCTTTCCCCGGAGAGCATGGCTACCCTTCCCGGTGTGGCTCAGGTCCCGTGGGGCAAGTCAGGGAAGGCAGGCACAGCCCAGCCAGGGAGGAGGCGGGAGGCAAGAACAGGAGGAACTGTCACCCACCCTGTGAGACCCAGCCGCCCCCGGAGGCACCCAGCCCCACCCTGCTCCCACCCAAGCCTTGGTCAGGCCTCATCCTCTGTGCAGGTCAGGACGGCAGCTACCGGATCCCTCCGGTCCCCACGCCATCCCACCTCCCTGGTCTGCCAGAGGGACCCGCTGATGGCAGGCTCGTCCCGGGACCCCCCATTGCCCTCGAGTCCCATGCGAAGGCCTCTGCCTGCACTCAGAGTGCATCCCAGGCGGGGGCAGCCCACTTGGCCCCCGTCACACTCTCCTCTGCCCCCAAGTCTCCCAGACCCTTTGCTCACATGCTGTTCCAGGCTTCCGAGGTCTACCGTCGGCTCTCGGGTCCCCCACCCAGTCTTTCAGCACCCAGGCCTGGCCCAGCCAGCCTGATGCTCCCACTTTCCCCAGACCCTCCCAGGGATCCTGGGCCACTCCCGGCCTGGCCAGAGCAGGGGTCTGTGGCTGCCTCCGTAGGTGACCCAGGCAGACCGGCCTCCCAGCCCCAAGCTTCCCCAGCTTTCCTGGGGCTTTGGTTCAGCAAGACCCCAGGGCAGAGAGACTCTTCCCAACCGCCAGCCCTTCTATCCAGATCCATTTCAGGCCTGGACCGGCTTCTACGCATCCCACAGCGGGCTCAAGGGGCTGGCGAGGCGAGTCAGCACACTGCTGTATGCCGGGCAGTCCGTGTCCACTTACTACGTGTGGCCGGCCCCCCAGCAGCACCTGGGCCTGGACCGGGCCCTGAAGCAGCTGCAGTGGCCCCCTGGGCGGTCTCCGAGGTGACGTCACACGTCTCAGTGACGGTACCAGGTTGCAAAGCCCCTGTGCGGTGTGCTGTCCCCACCCCTGGTCACTAGACGTCCACTTTCCAGATGAGAACACTGAGGAGGCCCGTGGTCACAGGCAAGTGCATGTGGACGTGGGCCAAGGCAAGGACAGTGACAGTGTTCAGCTGGGGGCTTCAGGAAGCTTTCGGGCCAAATTTACGCAGAGGGTAAAGGGCAAGATGGGGCTCAATCCCAGCTCAGCCGTGTGGCCTCAGGCACCTTTGCCCTCGCTGAGCTCAAATTCGTCCCAGTGCAGCGAGAGCACGTGGCCACCCCAGGGTGGGGGCAGTAGAATACGATGGCAGAATACGATCTGCCCGGTACGGCGGCATCTTTCCGTCTCCACCTGTCCCCCGTGTACAGATGGGAAACCTGAGGCCCAAGAAATCCTATAACTTGTCCTCACCCGCCAGAAAAGAGCCACGCTGGCCATGACATCTGCACACTCACCTAAAGGGAGTTGCTGGCAGAATGTGTGCTGGGGGTGAAGTGGATAGAATTTAGAGTCTATCAGAGCAGGCAGGACAAGTGGCTTCACCAGGTGGAGCCTCCGTTTCCCCTCAGGGAAGGTGAGCTGCTCCCGTTCCCACCTTGGTACAGAGACGGGAGGGTGCCTGGAGCATTCCAGCAGCTTTTATAGGAAGACTGGGCGGCAGAGACGAACCTGGGACGGGACCCATCCAGATGTCTGTTTCTTGCCCAAGCCAGGGGACTCAGGCAGTGGGTGTCCACAAGGTCACCAGCCCCTCTGAGACTCAGTTTCCTCTTGTGAGAAGTGGGAGGGACCCTCACCTTCTCCACAGGCACCTGGCGAGAGGGAAGGAGAACCAGCACCTGGGAGGTGAGCGGGTGCGCTGGAGAGGCGGGTCCCGATCCCATGCTCCCCCTACTCTGGTCGGGCTACGGGTGCAGCACCACGACGCCATCCCTGGGACTGAGACGCCCAAGGTGAGGGACAGGTACGTGGAGAATCTGAGCGCGGGGCTGCACGGCGTGCACAAGCTGATGGCCTCCATCGTCCAGGACAGGACCCCAGCCCACTCAGGTAAACGAGGCCCCCGCAGGATGCTTCTGCAGACCTGGGAGGAGGCTGTGACCGTCCTGACCAGAGAGCCCGCGGAGTCACGGAGCGGCACTGGAACACCTGAGTCTCAGTCTTGAACCACCTCCCTTGTGTGCCCCTGAACCTGGCACGTGCCTTGACTGCTCGGAGGCTCCTGTCCTGTCTGTGATGTGTGACCCTTAGACTGATAAGCGGCAACTTGCTTTGGCGTCTGCTAAGCACGCATCACGCAGGGTTTAACGTAATGCCTGGAAAGTCCGGAAGCTGGGAACTTCCACTATCCTCACCGTGTAGGGGCACACATAGCAGAAGCAGAGAGGTTGTAGACGGGCTCAGGGTCGCTCAGCCAGGAAGTGCGGAGCAGGGATTGAACCCGCGGCCCCGCACTGCCCTGATTGCAGAGGATGCAGGGGTCCTCAGGGGCCTGAGCCCAGCCTGGATCCCCAGCGCCCTCTGAAGTTCAGTTTGGGCGCGGATCTCCAGCCTGTTTGAAGGCAGGCTTCTGTGGGTGTAGAGTAACTGGTGATGCCAGTTTGGGACTGAGGAGCTTTCTTGAACCAGGAAGTCCTGGGGGCACCGGCACACGTTGGTCTCCTTTCACGTGCCCGACACGTCCCGTGCACAAGGCCTGCTGCCCCTCCCCCAGCTCCACACATCAGCCAGACCGGGTCACGGTGCGTCCTCACAACTGACCTCACCGCACACCTGGCCGCCCCCTCCCCCCGTGTCTGTGTGTAGTCCCATCTGACCGTCAGACCGGGGAAGGGCCCCAGGGACCAGACCTGCGGCACACAGGGTCACAGCCCACAGATCACGGGGTCGGTGGGGGAGGCAGTGGCAGCCGAGCTGGAGTCTGGGGGTGTGAGTTCCCTGCCAGGTGGGGCCACCCATTCCCGTGTCCTCACCAGGGTGGCTTCCCCGAGGAGTGAACTGGCAGAGGAGGTCAGGAAAGGTGTCCCAGTCACAGGGAAGAGCCTGGGCAGAGGCGGGGGCCGGGAGGTGTGTGATGTGTTCAGGGATCCGGGAATCATCAGACATGGCCAGAACTGCCCTCGCTGGGAGTAAGGATAGAACAGACGTGGAAGCCAGGCCGCCTCACTGGGGCTCAAATGCTGGGCTAGGTGATTAGACTGGCCCCGCCAGCCTCCCGAGAATTCTCCAGTCCTTCCCGATACCAAGCACTCAAATTGGCAGCCAGACCTTAGTAGCGGGTCACGTTGGGCAGGTGACTGTATTTCTCTGGGCCTCAGTTTCCTCATCAGTCAAGTGGGGCTGTCAGGGAGTGATGTGAGAGGAGCACGGGGAACCTCAGCTCTCCGGAGGGACCCTGTGTGTTCCCTTCCAGCCTTCCCTGCCCAGGGACCGGGAACAGAGCCCTGAGCAGAGGATGGGGTGCCGAGTGTAGGAGCCGACTAGCCCACCGGTCCCGATACACAGGTCCCCTGGGAGCTCTCAGGGCTGTGTCTCACCTGCCTCCATTTCCATGTGACAAGGGCACCCAGGTGTGTAGGGTGAGTCAAAGGGCAGCAGGTAAAGCCAGGTCTCTGCGTTTAGACCCAGAACGTGGGGGACACGTTGTCGTGGTCTTCAACCCCTTGGCCTGGACGGTCACCACCATCATTACCCTGACTGTGGACTCTTCCTGGGTCAGCATCACCGATGCGTCAGGCCACCCGGTGCCTGCACAGGTATGGGAGTGACACCAGCTCATGGCGGGCACGTCCAGAAGTGGGAGCAGTTAAAGGAAACGTGTACCGACGGGGTCCTCGCTTCGAGGACATCCCCATGGGAACCCATATCCAGTGAGGGTCCTGGGATCCACCATGGGACAGACACTGGGCCTTGGGCATCTGAAGTGGCCCGAAGTGCCCCCCACTGTCCCCTCCTTGTAGGACTTCCTGGGTGGGTCTGACCTGGTTGGGCGGCTTCTCCTCAGCCCCCTCCCTCGGGTGTGTTGATATTCTCATGTAAATTTCCACCTTTTCTGGGAAAGGCCCTCAAGAGTCTTGAGAGGGGCGCCTCGAGGAGGTGCTGGTGTTCCAGGCTGGCCCAGCTGCCTGTGCCTGCACACCCAGACACCTGATGCGCGAGGTCTGTTCTCATCCTTTCCACTGCCCAGAGCTGCAGGGGTGTCCCAGGGTACCCTGCCTGTCCCCCGGCCACTGTTTTCCTGGGGATGTGCAGGGGGTGCTGACATCATTCAGCAAACCCTCCGAATGCACATTCTGGTCCAGCTGGGCTGAGTGCTGAGCCCCTGGGCACGAAAGTCATGCTCAGAGCAGGCAACAGCAGGGGTGCCTGGAAGGAAGGGCAGTTGCTGATGCTGGTGCCCCAGGAGTGAGGGAGGCCAGGCAGAGAGATGAGGCTGGGGCCGGGTCCTGTCGAGCAGGGAGGTGCCTGGAGGGAAGTCAGCTCAGTCCATGACGGAAAGACCCTGCTGCCTCGTGGGTAGTGAGCACCCAGTCCAGGAGGTATGCAAGCCACAGGTTACGGAGGAGACTGAGGGGTTTTCCAGCCCTGAAACCCACATTGTGTCCTGTCCCACTGGCCTTGCAGGTCCAGAAATCAAGGGAGAAACAACCTACATACGACCTGCATGTGCTGACCACCTTCCGGGCCTCAGTTACCGGCACTACGGCATCAGGAGCACCGAGGGGGCCCAGACGGGCATCCACGAACCAGTTGCCACCATAGTTAGTTCCACCCAGTTTGGGCGCAGGCCGTGGACGTGCACTGGTCCAGGGATCAGGCACCTGTTGCGGGTGAAGAATGACATTACAACACCGTGTTCCTGGACCGTGACACCAACCTGATGCACAGCATGTGGGAGAGGTGAGGTGCAGCCATTGCTGGTTCTGAGGCAGAGGCGTGTCCTGGGACCTGAGCTGTCACTCCCCACCTGTCTCTGTCCTCACCTGCTATGGGAACCACCAGAAGGTGGCGAAGGCCCTTCCTGCATTAGCGTCTTGACTTCTGTATTGTCAGATTAGACCAGTACAAGAAAGCCCTTCTTGAACCTTATCATTCCAGGGCTGTCGGTCCCTAACAAAAGTTGAGGACCCACTCCGGGGAAATATATGCTATTCACGTCGTGCATTTTCTTAAATTTAAAGCAACATAAATCATCCCGTCTGCCCACCAACTGCTAAATCACTCATCCATCCATCTCCTTACCTCCCGTTTACCTATCCATCCATCCATGCATACAACATACCTACATATTGCATACATACCTACGTACTTACCTACATACCTACATACATACACTATCTCTCTTGTTCATGCATCCATCCAACCACCCACCCGCCCACGCAACCACTAAGCCCCGATTCCGTCCATGTATCCACACACAAACCACCCCTCCGTCCGCCCATCTGCCCCGCCCACCCACTCACCCTCCCACTCATCTATATGTTGACCCAACCACGTGTCCATCCACCCACGCCTCCGCCCACTCACTCACCCAGCCAGCCATCTATTTA